AAATACTCCAGCAACAGATATTCAAGTACCAGACTTTGAAGTTGCAGACACTCTAGCAGCAAACATACAAGCATCAGGACCTGAAATACACCTGTAAATCACAAAAACCTATCGTTGCCAGGAGTATCAGAGCTGCTACGGAGATAAGTGCCGGCTGAAATGTAATACCAGGCTCTAATAAAATAGATGAAAATACCAGGAAAGGTATTTTTTTTAAATTTTTTGGCCCTGGAAAATATAAATAGACAAGAGATTTCATTCACAAATGTATGAAACTAGTCAAACCAGTGTACAGGTACAGCGGTGCAGAGAGGCCTAGACAACATAATAATGCATACTATTTCCATATAAAGAATTATGAGCAAGTTCGCGTATGCAAATACTTTTTATGGCTACGCTAGATATCAACAATCGAATTAAAAGGACAGTGGTTGACAATGCAAAAATTGAGTTCCTGGAAGTAGACTTAAGAGGTAAACACAAAAACCATATAAAAGTGGATCCATCGGTTAAAGACGGAGGGTTTCTTGAGCCCATTCGATCGATTCCTCATATTGAGAGCCATTATCTTGGCAAGAAAACCAATAGGGAATACATCGAATGTGGAAAAAATTTAACTGATATATTTAATGACTATAAAAAAATTGACGGGAAAACAATCTACCGCAGTCAAATTTAGCGATGTTCTCAAAAATTTTTAACACAGAGTTTAATATTAGTTTCTTTATACCCAGAAAAGATCGCTGTGAATTGTGAGATTCGTATGAAAATGCCATAGGAGAAGCTATGGAAATATTGAAACATAAGTACTTATGTATTACATTTAGAAGAAAATGATTTATCGAGAAAAGGAAAGGGCCAAGAAAAGGCGAAGGCTAATCCAAATTACATTGTATCAGTATATGACTTGCAAGCAATTCTTCCTAAGCTGCAAGGAACTGTATCTGTTTTTTTTAAGGTTTTTAAGTTAAATCAAGAAAATCACTCTCTATTATAAAACCTCCTATACAAAACTGTACTTAACATTAAAGAGAATAAACAAAAAGATCTCTTGGATTTAGTAAAGAATAATCACATTCCCAGTTGTTATTTAGCATTCTATAACTGTAATAATAAATACAAAAGCTTTTTCTGTTTTCCTTTGGTTTTGTTTTATTATATCCTAACAATCTAATTTTTAAGATGTTAATATCTTGTTCTAAAAAGGTATGATTCTATTTTTTCACTAGGAAAAATTGAATTTTTCTGCAAAAAATAATGAACCAATAACACTGAGCTAATATATTCCAGTTTACAATAAAATAACATATAAACTTACGTACCTCGTTGAATAAATTATAAAAATTCAATTAGTTAATTTGTGAATTGTATATTTAACCGAGTAATTTGTTTAAACAAATTAAAATAAATATTTATTTCGCAAAATTTTATATTTTAAGAAGAAATTTCAATAGAATGGCATAAAGAGGATGAGCTGATACAGCCAATCAGCCTCCTTGCATTTAAAGTATTCTTGCACACCAGTATAGATAGAAAATTAATTAATTATTTTTATTTTACTATTCGCCAAACAAAAATTATGCTACGATACAAAACTAACGTAATAAAAACTTGGTAATGGGTGGTTATGGTAATGGAAAAACCGAAAAAATCATTCGTAATGAATTTATCATCGATTCCATCGCAAATAGTTGTTATTTATCTGTGATTTACCAATTTTTCTTTTTTCTCGAAAAAAAAAATCATACATAGGAAAATAATTTCTTTGTCCATTTAGACATAAAAATCGTTCTTAAAATAAGTTTCTGCTCTGAAAGTTGAAATGTCATAAATGTATGTGTTGAATACAAGATATATGAAAAATCTCATAGGAGATTTTAGAAGAATAAATTAAGATTAATTCTTGAGAATTGGAAACATTTTAAACTTACAATTAATAAAATAAAATACAGTGGGAGGAAGTAGTGAAGAAAGTAAAAGCGAGTGGGAAGAAAAAATAAAAATGGTTCTCGTTCTTCAGCAGTTTCCGAGAATTGGACAAGTTTTCATCGAATTGGACGATAACATCTATATGTGTGGAAAACTAAACCAAGAATTGAATACTAGGCAATGGTGTAAATAGTTTTTGGTATAAATGTAAAAGATAGACTTCAAATTTCAAAAAAACGTAGAAATACCAATAATGTTCTTGCTGTTTATTATAACAACATAGGCGGTTTTGGACCAACATTTTAAATTTGCAGATGTATCTTTACTATGCAGAAGAATTTTCCTAGATTTAATTTATACGAATCTTAATGGTGAAATGGGGTGATGGTTGAGAAGTCAACTGATTCGCTATTTCCGAAGAGTAGTTTTCATACTATAGTATCTTTTGATTTATGATTACGTGATGTCAGTCATGTTGTATATAAGGAGTTTTTCATCATTTCAGAATTGACAAATACATTGCCTGTAATACTTATTTAGCAAGGTTTCACTAGAAGTCAATTCTTAATAAAAAAAAAGACATTTACGTGGTACAGTACTTAGTTTACTCAGTTTTATGATATATTCTAGAATTAATAGGTATATGTTAAGAGAATAGTTCTAAATATTTCTGGAAATTCATTATCAACAGACGTAAGTCATTTAGATTTTCTTCTAGCGTATATTATGCCAATAAAACAACTAATAACAAAAATGATATTGTCAATACGTTTGCTAAATATTTTGGTCAGTAGACCTCTGCAAGTACTGGGCAGATTGATGTTCAATAACTACCATTTCCGGTCCCAGGTCCGGATACAGAAGAAGGGCTGGGTGGCAGGTTAGTAACCTATTTCCGAAAAAAACCTTTACCGCAAACGACCTCGGAATGTGCAGACATTTTGACAGCAATTCAATAAATAAGATGACTTGAGAAAGGTATTCGGGATACAAAAACACACTATCTTACCAAATGGTTTAGATACAGGAAATAAAAAATTTGGGATGGCATTTTATCGTCGACCATTAACCGAAACACCTCATAACAGATTTTCAAGCAGTTAATGAAGTTGTAGGATACGAATAAAGACGCACTTCCCCAACTTATCCATAATAAACGTTAACTACCAAACGAATCAACAAGATGAGGGTAGTAAAGTAGCTTTTTATCAATTATTAGAACAAAAATATGAAACGCAAAGTTAGGAATTGAAAAAGAATACATCGGAAAACGGCCAATATCTTACTGACTTTGCAACCAGTAAAAATATGGTCATGGCGGAAATGTTGTGGACCACGTAGACCACATCTTGATAGAAAAGCGATTAGCAACAAGAATTTTGGATGTAAAAAGTGGACGAGGAGCATACTGCGTCTACGACCACCTACTAGTTTATTATAGGTACACTTTAGATGTAGCAGAATTAACCAAGAAAAGAAATTCTAGATCTGGGAAAAGTAAAAAAATCCTGAAACGTAAAAGCAGTTTGAGTTTCGGGTCTTTTCAGTTTTCCCAGTTTCCAGTTTTCAATTCGGAATTGAAATGAAGAGAGAATACTGGGAGACCAGTGGGACTTAATAAGTAAAACCACATTTACTGTAGCAAAGCAGATGCTAAAAACTAAAGACAGGAAAGATGACCAATGGCTTGATCGTAAGTATAAGGTGAAATTAAAGAACCAAATAAAATGTTGAACAAATAGGTCTATTATAAAAATAAACTGAAAAAAGACTAAAATCCTAGTACAATGCCGAACGGAGAGCGCAGCCCGATCCTATCTGACAGTTGATAACTTAAAAAATGTAGATAGCTTTGCTTATTTAGGTGTCAACATCACAAAGAGTAACATTGTCGATGCAGAACTTAACAGATGAATCATCCTAGCCAATACGACATACTTTACTACGAATAGGATATTTATCATAATCCGACCGATAGTGAGCTATGGATGTAAAACTTGGATATTGACTCAAAAATCTGTAAACCACATGTAGATCTTTGAAAGAAAGGTATTACTAGGACCTATAAATGAGAACAACAGGTGGCTAATCAGATACAATTCTGAATTATGTAATATACATAAAGAACCAGTACCCTGTATCTCAGTATTTCCGCTAAAGCGTTTTTAATGGACAGGCAATGTATTTAGGTTTAACAGCTTCCAAAAATACTGTTGAATGCAAAAATGCAGGGAAAGAGACCTATTCGTAGACCGAGAAAGCGATGTATGGAAGATGTAGATGAGGACGCAAGAAATCTCCTTGGTGGTCGATCGTGGAAAAGAATGCTACACCAAGTAACGAATGGAGAGGTTTGCTGAGGGAGACCAGGGCTCGAATTGGGCTGTAGTTATGGCATGGATTCTTCAGTAAAGATCAGGATGTTGATATTCCAAAATTATACATAAACAAAATTACACGGATATTATTTGCTATAACATAGACAATAAAGAATAAATTGATAATGGTATGTCAGTATCCCCAAGAATTAACATATTTAAAATATTTACATTGGCAAGTCCTTTGCATTTGGTATTTAATCTGTTTTGTTTCTAGTATTTTTCGACATTTTTGGAAACAATGGAATTTGAAACAAAGTTTGTAATGCCAATTAACAAATCTGGCGATCGGGTTACTGTCGGAAATAATAATTGAGTAAATTATAGAAAAAATCAATACATCTTAATATAGCTAATTCTTTTCAATCCGAAATATATATCTTCAGCTCCTCAAAACACAATACTGTAAACTTGTATACAGCTTTTTACTTACTGTGTGCATTATGTAAATTCTTCAAAATTGTATGTTTAAACCTTTTTTTATATCAAGTATATGTTGTGTCAAAGGTTTATACGTTAATAAGTAAATAAATAAATATATAGTTGATTTTTTATATCAAACTTTTCATTCATAATTTAAATATCAAAAAAATGTTAAATTATACTACAAAAAAGTAAAAGGACCAGTTGCATCATTTAGATATTTTGTACAATATGCCGTTTATTTTGGAGCTTTAAACAACACTGACTTACCTGTATATTAGACATAGTTTGAAAAGCTGTAAAAACCAGCATAAATGCTAGCCCTAGTAGCATAACATTTCTCAGGCTTCGATCCATTATAAATAATTTCTGTCAACACACACCAGCACTATCAATCATTCACCAAAACAAAACTTTCACTATTCTGATCAATTAAGTCGACTGCCTGATAGGTACCATTTCCACCGTTTTTATTTTCTAAGCGATACTAAGATAAATAACGAGATGTTATCTGTAGTGGGTATGTGTTGTGTTTATTATGGTGGGAGTTTGTTGTGTTGTGGGTACCTTGGCTGTAACTGTTTAACTGTAAGCTGGTCAGAGTACGGAGCGCATATTTTACTTTAGAGATAGTAAATTCCGGAAACGTGGTAGGCAGGTCCGTATTCAAGTAAATTTTTTCTTACATTTCCGGGTAATATAATCGTTCGTAAAAGTTTGTTCCTTTTGGAAAATATTGTTATATATATATATATATATATATATATATATATATATATATATATATATATATATATATATATATATTGAAAATGTATTCAGCAGGAGAATGCAAAGGTTTGATCAGTCAATTGTTGGCAAATAAAATACTCAGCTAATTCATTAGTTTATTCGAATACGTTTCGCTTTTTTATTTTTTAAAAGCATCCTCAGTTCTCTACAAAAAGTAATGGTGTAAGATTCTAAGTAAAAAATAACAAGGGTGAAGTTCATACTTGCTCAACAATTTGTAGGTTTTTGTAATGTTATGAAAACTACCTATTCTAAGATTACTTAACAGTAAAACACAACAAACTAAACGAAAGAAAAAGCTAAATTGAATTAGAGCACTACTGTTCGTTGATTTAATATTTAATTGTCAGGTGATTTTATTTTCACAGTTTCATTAGGCTGTGTTGTTTGAGCTTGTGCATGGATAAAACAACACTAACGTGTTGCATTAATATATTTGCTGTTTTGTGACACGAAAGCATCCTGGCTACACATGTGTATTGCCTTCCTACATGTGGTCCGTAGGGTTCAGTGAAGTACTCGATTGTCAAGGGCATATATATATATATATATATATATATATATATATATATATATATATATATATATATATATATATATTCTTTTTTTTTATTATTATTATTCCAAGTTCAAATGAGATAAAATTTATTTTTATTTGTATTTTTTCTTTCTTAAATACTTAGTAACATAAACTCTGTTGCTTGTTTAATAACTAATATTATATCAAAATTTGCAATGAAGGTTTGCATAAACATAGACACTTCTTCTGTCAAACTCACCTAAAATAAATATAAAAAATAGAAGAGATATGGAAACCTTAGTAATAAGTTTTGACAGAAATAAAAAGCAAATCAAATTTAATGTCATTATGTTAATGACATAATGACAAAATGTAAAATTTTGCTAATTTTAAAAGACAATTCTCACAACGGTAAGCCTATTTAAGACATAAGAACTTCATTTTTCTAATGTAAATTTTTTATGTTAATTTTTAGTATGTTTTGAAAAAGAGTAAAATAAACTCGAAAGCTTAGCAAACCTAAAAGAGTTTTACTTAAAGGCCAATATATTGACTACTAAACCCAATATATCCGTATATATATATATATATATATATATATATATATATATATATATATATATATATATATATATATATATATATATAATTAATATTAAACTTAGCAGGCTTCCGGGTTGAACCGCGTCGATTTTCACTGTGCCGAGCTTTCGACATCCTGTCTGATATCCTCCTTGTGGCTTCTGAGGTCTCAGTCTTCCGAGCCTCCAGACTGAGCCCCTACAAAGCGAAGGGTTTATACCGACGAGGGTGGCGTGGTTTGGGTGGAGGATGACGTAGAGGTTGGCGCGAACATTTTTGATGGTAGGATTTTGATTGGAGCTGACGATATTTTCTTTATGAGAGGTCTCCATGTGGAAGGTAACCGGATGCTGTCATCTCTTTTATTGAGACAATTTGGCCTTTTTCCAATTTCTATAACTTCTCGGATAATTCTTGGTTTATAGAAGATAGTGCTGCTTTAGAAAGTTTTTGTTCATCTTAGCCTTCTATCGGTCTCTATCCTGAGCAACCTCTTTTCAATTTGTTCCGGCTATTCTTTTAATGTCATTAACCCATCTCATCTGTGGTCTTCCTCTTGGTGGTTTACTTTCGTAAGGTCTCCAATGTTGTATTGTAGTATTCCAACGTTGGTCTTTTTGTCTAGCAGTGTGGCCCGCGAAGCTCCATTTAAGTTTGGCAATTTTTGTTGTTATGTCCTCGACTTTTCTTTTTGATCTTACCCAGTCGTTCCTCTTTTTATCTGACAGTCATATGCCTAACATCTTTCCATTGTTCTTTCTGTTGTGACTAGTTTATTGATGTTTGCCTTGGTTAGGGTCCAAGTTTGACATCTATGTCATGATAGGAAGGATGCATTGGTTGAACACTTTGCTCCTCAAGTATTGGGGTATTTTGCGGTTCTTAAGTATCCAACTTCTTCTTATTGATGTGCCTATCCGTTACGAACGTTGGCAATCATCACGGCAATCTTTATCTTATCTGCAGCAGTGCGGAAAAGCTGCATAGATGTTGTATTAAACCAGATTCTGAGGTTATTTAACCAAAATGTTCTTCTTCCTGGACTTCGCTTTCCAAATATTTTTCCTTGCAGGATGGCTTGAAAGAAGCTTGTCCGAAGAATTGTAACTTTCGAGATTTAATGGTGGTCAGTACCTCTCGGTTCTTAGTCATTCTTCTAAGGACCTCCTCATTTGTGACTCGGTCAGTCCACGGGATCTTAAGTATTCTTCGATATAGCCACATCTCAAATGCTTTCAGTTTTTTGTATATGTCTTCGTTCAAGGTCCACGATTCAATACCACAAAAAAGGACAGAGAAGACGTAGCATCGCACTATTCTTACTTTTGTATCAAGAGAGAGGTTGTGACTCTTGAAGAAGGCTTCCATCCGATTGAAGATGGATCTAGCTTTTGCGATGCGTGCTCTAATCTCCTGGTTGTTGGTCCATTCTTCATTTATTGTGGTGCCGAGGTAGTTGTTGTGCGTCACTCTTTCTACAGGAGATTGGTTGACGTAGAGTTGACTTCTGTTATGTTTGACCTTTTCTTGCTAATTATCATAAGCTTTATCTAACTTAGTTGGATACTTATCAAGCTTATGATAAGTATCCAACTAAGTTTTCCAAATCCTGCCCATGCTAGTCTTGCTCTTTTAGTAATTTCCGCACTTTGCTTCTCTTTGTGACAACGACATTTGAAGACGATATTATTGTCACCATCACACAAAATAAAAATGACGATACCTGACCATCTATTCTCGAAGCGGAAGTAGAAGCTGCTATAAATAACATTAAGGAGGGAAAAGCAGCAGGATTAGATGAGTTCTACTCAGAATTTTTGAAAATGATGGATAAAGACGAAGTAAAAAGACTTACCTTGATCTTCAACAATATATACCAAAGTGGAAAAATACTCCAACAGTGGCTAAGATCAACTTTTATAACAATCCCTAAAAAACCCAATGCCAAAAAATGTGAAGATTATCGAATAATAAGACTTATGAGCCATCTCCTGAAAACTTTTTTAAAAATTATACATAAAATAATATATAAAAAGTGTAAAGAACACATGAGAACACAAGACACACAATTCGGCTTCAAGGGTGCATTGGGTACTCGAGAGGCACTTTTTGCAATACAAGTTCTCTTTCAAAAATGTAGAGACGTGAATTGTGATATTTATGTATGTTTTGTTGATTACCAGAAAGCGTTCGATAGAATAAAACATGACGAACTGATGAAAATATTAAATTCAATTAGTCTAGACAGCAGAGATCGCCGTATAATAAACAATATCTATTACGAACAAACTGCAGCTGTTAGAGTTGGGATCAGTTAACAGACGATATAAAGATAAAAAGAGGTGTACGACAGGGATGTATATTGTCCCCATTATTGTTCAATACATATTCAGAGCACATTATAAACCTAGCGCTAACAGACATAGACGAGGGAATACTCATAAACGGAGAACGATTGAACAAGATAAGATACGCTGATGATACTGTCATTTTTGCAGACAGTCTTGAAGGTCTGCAGACATTTGTCTTCAGGGTGGCAGAAGTAACAGGTTTGGGCTTGATTTTAACATCAAAAAACCAAATACATGGTTATACGCAAAAATAGGATAAAACCTGGTCTATTACTAAATGCATCTATCCTCGTTGTTTTTTTTAAATCCTTTTTCTCTCTTCTTTTATGTTAATATTTATTTTTGATCTAACTATACGATGGTCACTACCTGTTGTTACGTTGTTTATTGTTGAGACGTCTGCAAATATTCCTTTGTTGTTTGAGAGAAAATAGTCCATTTTATTTTTGGTAGTTCCGTTAGAGCGACCCATGTCCACTTTCTGTTAGGTTTCTTTTTGTAGAAGGTATTCATAACGTACATGTTTTCTTGTTCCAGGAATTTCATGAGTTTTTCTCCTCTTGTCTTTTTTTTGCCGAATCCAAAATTTCCAATCTTGCTTTCAGAGTCTTTAATCTTACTTATAATTTTGTCGTTAAAGTCTCCCAATATTATTATTTTGGATTCTTTGTTGTTGTCTATAGCTTTTTTAAGGTCTTCGTAAAAAGTATTTATTTCCTCATCGATTGCTTTTTCAGTTGGAGCATAAACTTGCACGATCTTTATTTTAGTTTTTGGACTTAGTTTAAAGACCATGTATGTAATCCTGTCTGAGATATATATATATATATATATATATATATATATATATATATATATATATATATATATATATATATATATATATATATATATATATATATAAGCGAGGTTCCTACAGCCTCTGCCGTTTCTCGCATTTCGACCGCCATCGTTTTCTGTCCATCCATTCGTCTTCTCTGATGGCTCTATCTCTCATTATGTGCCGTACATTTTCTTCCCAGGCAACTGAAGGCCTTCCCCTTCTTCTTCTTTGTTGTGGTATGTAATTTAAAGCTTGCTTTGGCCATCTATCTTCATTCATTCGTTTCACGTGACCATACCACACTAGTTGTCTCGTTTCAATTCTATCTACACTGGAATATACAGTATTTGTCCTCCTTCTAATATCTTCATTCCTGAT